TTAGGAGGATCTATCTATATATCTATAAAAATATACATATTTATATACATGTATAAATATAAATAGAAAAGTAAGAGGTAGTCAGTTAGAAGAATCATTCAGTTTTTTTTTTTTTTTTTTTGCATAAAATAGAAAGCTTTAACAATGTAACATTTTCTAATTCAGGGAAGAGATTGCGACCTCCACCTGCAGAACAGAAACCCTAGAGAGAGAAAGTAGAAAGCATCTGATATTAGAAAGCGAGCTGAAGTAGAGGAGAAAATATCAATAAAGTTGGTTTGCAAATTGCCAAAGGAGAAAGGGGATCATATTCATTGAAAGCGAATTTGCACTTTTGTCTCCAACGTTTGAAAGTGTAACAAACGTACCTAAACTTTTTTTAGCATTAATCATCCCAATATTTCAATTTGTAAATACATTATACATCATTCCCTCCATATTGGCCATTAAATGACGAATTTGTCTTTTTAAAATAAATTAAAAAAATTATTAAACAACAAAAAATAAGAGAAATTAAAATAAATCCCATAACTTTTAAAAAGTACAAATAAATTTCATTTAGAATAATTAAATACTTATTAATACAAAAAAAAAAATTAGAAAAAATATAATTTACCCCTGCCAAGCTCACCCAACCTAGTCCATCAACACCCACATCACTCTATCACACACATCGTAGTCCACCCCTACTTGCAATCAAATTTGTCTTCCTTTAATTTAGAACTAAGGCATGCTCTTAGTTGTTATATTTTGTGACAGAACATTTGTTCTTGAGCTAAGATATTATAGATTAAACCCTATATGATCCACGTTATTTGGAAAAATATATTTTTAAATAATGATTTGACGTCATTTCAATCACACATTTTTCAACAAAATAATGTTACAAGTAAATTCAATACATTTTCTTATTTTTAATCATATATTTTACATCATTACACATATTCAAAAGTGCATATTTTATGAAAATAATGTGATTCAAACAAGTGCTAAATTTAAAATATGCAAATATATATATTTTTTAAGAGTTCAAAAGGTGAGATGTTTTGACATTGTATCAAAGTATTCAAAAGACCATTTAAGCTTAAATTTTACCTCCACTTATTGATTAACACTAATATGTTTTAACATGCGCTTTATATAGAGTGGAATATAAGTATACTGAAAAGCAGGTCGAAGTGCTTGTAGTTTACGGTTAGTTAGCTTGGGACATTTAATAGGTCAAGGGTGGGGGGCAACACTCCGAGATACTATACAGAAGTGTTTTTGAATTTTTTTTTAAATATCTTATATGAGTCAGAGTTAAGAGTCTGCGCACGAATGCGGGCATGTTGTAACCCTATTATGTTCATATAAGAATTAATCTACTTGAACAATTAATAGTGAGTGAACGTGCGTTGCACGTTAATTAGTTAATGTTTAAAATAAATATATGTAAATTTTAGAAAAATTCATTTATAAATTTGGAAGATATTGGTCAATTCGTTGAAATTGACTTATTTTTTGTTAATTTTCTCTGTATATTGTTTATTTTTCATATGAATATTTGAAAATTTGCATATATTTGTACCAGTCATTTTCCAGTAAAAAAGTTTTTGGGAAATTTTTTATGCGGAATATATTTCTCTATATAGCTCAGCCTGAAATATGATTTAACCTACTCAAGCTTTGCCCTTAATCCATGCTATGATTATAATAATTAAATATCACCATGATATACAATATAGCAATATCTACACTATTGCATTAAAAATGATTTTTCATGTTTACAGGCACCATGCAAAATCCTAAATTATAGCTTAAAATGTTAAATGCAAGTTCGTGTATCAACCTTGTTTCAAGGACCTGATTTTATTGTCATTGGAGCTTGATTGTAAGATTGTAAAAACGTAATTAGAACATTAGAAAATAATATAGATATGGGCATAACTATAAATGGAGAAAACTTCTTCAAACTTTTTAAAGTTTAATTAAAAAAAATTTAAATCAAACACAAAATTATTTATAATATGAAGCAAAAAGAAATTTTAAAACAATTCTTCTTCTTCAAGATTTCCACGGTTTCATTGATGCTTTCTTTAAGAGGGGTAAATTCAATGCCCAAGGTTTTTGCTTCTAGTTTGGAATGGAAGATTTGTTGAAAAGGCATGGTCGGTAGTATAGAAAATGGAGAAATTGTGTTTCTCTGTCAAAAGCATGGCTTTACTTTGCTGAAAAATCGTGATTTCACAAATTTTTTGTAAAAGAAAATTAAAATAAAAGAGTGAAATCCGTACAAGACGATGTATATGTTTGGCACATGTCCAGCCATTCATTCACTCTTTTATATATGTAGGATAGTTGACAATTTTTTATTTGACAAAATTTGAACAGTTGATTTAATAAATTATTTTTAAATTTTTTTGAAATAGGTGAATATGATGATAATTGTCAGCTATCATTGTACATATAGCTTGATTTTTCATATAATAAGATCATAATTGTTCGACTCCGGTGGATGTAGGCCTATTATTGAACCACTTAAATCTATATATTTTTGCTCTTGTTCTCTCTTTGTTGATTCCGTCATTTTGTTATTATTATTGCCACACATAATAGAACAAATAAACAAAAATTGTACCGTATCTAACACTTAAATTTTAAATGAGGCGATCCAACACAAATTATCCAAGTTTATAATTATCTAAATTCACGGGTTGGAGAAAATTGTTATTGTTAATGAGGAGAAACCACAGATACTATTTATCTGCCTACTTTTTCTTGAAATAAGGGTCGAAACTGCTAATTTAGATTTTTCATGTGAATTTTTAAAAAATGATACAAATGAATCGTGCTTGTGAAATTATTAATTCGTAATAACTAAATAATAGTAAGAATTTTGATATTTGAATATGATTCATCCTAGTAATGAAGGTGGCACTATTTATGGAACACGTTATTTTTCCAGTAAGGTTGGGACCATTCCCTATTGAAATGACAAAAAGTTTGAAGGCCTCGAGTTAGAAGACTTTTAAGCACAATGGAACTCAATAATTGTTAATCTATTGGAGTTTGGCACAAATCAATTCTCAATCGATTTATTAATACAGATTGTTGACGTTTCAACATTCGAACATAAATGAAGAAATTACAATATTAATATTCTTAAACCAACTCCTAACAATCACAATTTAACTATTTTAATTTTCAACGATGAAACTTTTTTTCTAAACCTCAAGGTTCAATATTAAGCCCATGTTTGACAATCATCCTTTTCGAAAAAGAGTTTTGAATAATGATTTTAGGAGAATGTATGATAAAAAATAAAAAATAAAAAAAATAAAAGAAGTTTTGATTTACGTACAAAATATTTTATTATGTAAATATTTCATTGGTAATATCGAAAAAAAGAGTTCAAAAAGTATAGCTTCCAAACGGGGCTATATTTGAGTTCATTAAACTTCAAACAAACATTCGAATTGTTTTTAAAAATTTTAAGATTGATGTGCTCAAACAAATTACCATTGTGTGAAGCATATGTTAAGAGTAATGCCTTACATCACTAAAGATGAAATAGATAACACAGTTTCTCAAGGCATAACAAAATTGACATTCTAAATGAAACCACGGACTTCTACAACTATAGTATGCTAAACATTGCCTGCAATTTCCTATTTGTTAAATTAGTATGCTAAAAATAAGCCTCCATTTGGACGCCGTTAATTCAATCAGAATTAATTTTTTTCCATCACATCGGGTGGGGCTTACGTTGTAGCATATGAATGAGTGGTTTATTATTTATGTACCCTTTTCTATTTGTACTCCCATTTGTCATATTTCTTGGCAAAATGGGTTTGAGTGTTACGAGTAAAATAGGTAAAGGAGCAAATAAAAGATTGAAAAGATACAACCTTTTGTCAATCACATGTCAAAAAGTAGGAATATTGAATGCTGAAATTACTGTACAATGGTCAGCAAAATTCAAAAAATGAGGTTAAAATGAGTATCAAACAAGAGCTAAGTGTAATAAGGACTCGCGATATAAAATTTTTATCTTCCCAATTCAATAGGATGCATCTATGAACATGTAAAGCTTCTGTGTAACAAGAAGGTATTCAAGTTTTTTGAAAGATAAAAAGGCAATACATCCTAGCATAGAGATTCATTATTCATTTTTTAAAAGAGGCTTCCCAAGACAAAAAGACAATACATCCTAATATAGAAATTCAATTTTTTAAAGAGATACATTTTTAAGATTGATAATGAAATTATTATGCAACAAAATCAAAGTATGAAAAGTCACAAGGAACAGGTGTAAGTTACAATTTATGTCATTTTTAGTCTTTTTGTAATATCGTTTATATTTTCATATAACTAATTCATGACCAATAACTCAAAATTCGATGTCAATTAAATCGTTCCCATCCTAAACGAATTTTCTTGTTGAATATTCAAAGTGAACAAGTGGAGTGTTTGGAGGCAACACCTCATACTCAAATCGTGGTAGTGAATATATTAGCAACACATTCAAGAGTATATACAAAGATCATGGTATTTAACATTCTTTAATAGCAAAGAGGAAGAGTAAGACTCATAAAAATGACTTGAAATATTTTGAAAACTAAGAAGATGCAAAAGAAGTTCCAGGCTGAAGCTGCTCAATGTGCCGTATCTTTGTTGAATCGCTGTCCCATCGAAGTGTGCAAAATGACTCCTAAAGAAGCATGGAATGAATTCCAGCCAGGTGTATCATATTTTTGGATTTCTGAGATAGTTGCTTCATCTCGTGTTCTGAAAGAAAGGATAAAACTAGATGCAAGAGAGAAATATATCTTAGTTGGCTATGTTCAAGATTCAAAAGGTAATAAGCTATACAACCCAATGAATAAGTAGGTGATCACTAGTAGAGATGTTGAGTTCAACGTTGGAATTGGCAAAATCAGCAAGATTATACGATAATTTTTCCTTTCAATGATGATGAACAAGTTGTTGTGATTCTGCCTCAACTAACACCATCAATTCCACCTACAAATTATGGTCAAGATATACGTTCATCTTCATCATTTTCATGTAAAATACCACATCATTTTAGAAGTCTTTGGGAGATTTATGATGATGCAGAGGAGTTATATCAACATCTAGGGAAATTAACTTTGTTTTGTCTATTTGACGATCATGCGGTTATTGATTTCAATGACGCCATTCTAGATGATAAATGAAAGAAAGACATGAAAGAAATGATTGTAAGTAATTAAGAAGAATGATTAGGCAATCTGAAACTAGTTGAGAATGGACAAGATATTTATTTGTTTGAGAGTGAATTAGGAAATTAATTAGTAGGGACGGTGATTTAACTGATACGTCAATGTCAAAGATATTATCCATATATCTTGATTCTAGAGATCGTGAAAAAATTTGTGCAATTAATGAAATTTATCCCACTGTTTCCCAACAAATTCACTGAAACATTCAGAGTTGGTCCGTCACGAAATTTTGGAATTTCCAAATGGTCCAAGTATATTTGATCCTATGACTTGTTCAACCATGTGGCATTCTACAGGAAACAGACCATTTAAGTGTGAAAATTATTATATTTGCATCATTGTTGTTTCAGTTTTTCCAACTGCCATAATTTCATGATGGTTATCTTTTGACATTGAGAATTGATTCTCAAAATCAGTAAGTTGATCCATATCAAGTTTCTCGAGAATCTTGACATCAATTCTTCCTCAAAGATTTATAAATTTGTGTCCAACTCCATCTTAACATCCGTACAACAATATGAATCATTGTCCCCATGGGCGTTGCTCGACAATCTCATAACCAACGTTAGCCCCTCAATTATTGGAACACTCTCAATCTTTGAGTTTTCCATTTGCAACATATCTACAGTCAGGCTCGTGACTAAACCCATCATTGCACCAGTCTCCCGCAGCCATAACATGCACGTCATGGCCACCACCTCGTGCCTCTTGCCTATCATTGTCATAAAGGTTACTCACCATCTATTATGGAAAGATAACCAATCTGGCCACCTTTTGTGTCACGACCTCAAGATATTGACAATTTGTGTAAACTCATGTCTACAGTTCCCATTATCAACCATGAAAACAAGACGTTTAGCTCGTCCTCCTTGATCCATTATTAGAAGCATAGACTAACTATGATATCAACTAACACATGCAAAAGCTTAAACGATAGCAAATATGGGATTAAAAATGAAAATTCGCGTACGAATTAATCATTTAGGTGGAAATTGAAGGAAAATCTCAAACTTCCTATTCATGTTAAAAATCAATCATCCTACAATACAATTATAACACCAAATTTATGCAAAACTCCTTACTAGACTTTTAAGCAAAAGAAACTCAAGAAAAATTACTTATTTTGATTAAACTCCTAATCCTAATAAAATGATAAAAGACTAATTAATTATAATAATAAAATTGAACAATATAATCTTAAATTAAACGGACTATTTGCATTATAGATTTAATTGACCACATGGAGGAAACATAAATCTACATTTAATGCGCTGGAAACAATCTGTGTTCAATATTTAAACTCATATGGCAATGTTTAAAATTGAATGCATTAATTTGATTCTGAAGTCTTATTTATCTTTATTTTCTGGTTATAATTACAGTATATGAAGCATAAACACGAACAACAATTTAAAGTTGAATTGTTTATAAATGGTATATCTCACCTTAAGTTGGAGGGACGGTTGCCCTAATTTGTTGGAGTTCTCTGATTGCCTTCTATGCCTTTCAATTAGTTGCATTATGCTGCAGAATAATACATGGCAGATGAAATCAAAATCTAATACTTCTATAAATAGAATGCGAGTTTGCTACCAAATACACAACTCAAAGTTACGACTTAATGCATGTTTTGTAATCAATACGAAATTCAACAGTATGACGATTCTTTTTTCTTCAGTAAATATATTCAACCATACTATACTCTAGAAGGTTAATTTAAAATGCACGGAGCTGTAGTTATGTGTTTGCATAAGACTGCTGAAATTATAGGAATTTGTTGTACACCAGGATGTTCCGACTAGGTCGACACCTCTTTACCACCCTCATCGTCTACCGATCCCCAACATTTTATTAGTAATATCAAAACAAAAGAGTACATCAAAATTGAAGCAAGTAGAACTATATATTAGTTTCAGTTTTTTCCTTTCAAGTGCCAGCTAAGAATTATTAGGGACCTTGTGTGTTTACGAGTGTGAAATATTTTCCTAGTATCACTATGGAACAATGGAATATATATATTGTTTAAGCATTTAAGCTATTAGATAACATAAATTAATTAAGTGTTCTCGTAGATTTTGATAACTACTTGCAGAAAGATTTTCCATTCCACATATAGACGTTAGCATGCTAATGTTTGAAACTTCAATAGGTCTACGTCTTGTATAAGCAATAGAAAAAACCAATATAGCTGAGAGATAATATCTGATTGAGTAAACCAATGGATTTTCTAGTGAAAGCTGAAATCAGTACTTTCATGTCGAAGGTGCGAGGCATGCACAAATTTCATAATTATGGGCGGCTAAAGACTTCGACTTAAGATATTGGCATGATATGGTACCATTTTAAACCACATTATTTTAAAGCTTAAAGATATGTCGAAAGGAGTATGTTCTCGATAAGACAATATTGGATAGGGAAAAACCTAATATCCCACGTGTTTAAGGTACAAAGCATGAACCTTAGACCAAAACAAAAACAAAACAAAAAAAAAAACAAAAAAAAACAAAAAAAAAAAAAAGGAAAAACCAAGCCATCTCTCATAGAGGGCGCTATTGCATTCATAACTTATACTGCCCAGAGTCCCACATTGACTCTCGAAATGAACCTATTCAATAGCATTCACCCACTATTAATGATCAAAAGATTTGTTGAAAACACCACTGAGCTACGAGAATACTTTTTATTTTGTTCCATCCCTGTGTTCACATTTTTCTATATGATTATTGTTGTTCAACTATACATTCTGCCCTGCCCCCTCCCCTTCATCAGAAGCTAGTTTACAAAAGCACACTGGAGAAAAACATTTGATATATATCAATGTATCCTTCGCCCCTAGTTTTGTTCGATTCTTTGTATAACACTTGTAGATTATTTGCATCCATATCCGAGCTACAATTCTCTACCGTATAATTTCCATTACTGCCTAATTAATTCGTACCTTCTCAAAAGAAGTTTTCTGTGGTTTTAGCCCATTAAAATCTTTAGTTTTCATACAAAACTAGCTAAGCGATTGAAACACAGTAGCCAAAAGCATCAAAGCTTCGACCCAGTAGCATATTGTGTGTGCGTGTTCAAGAGAGAGAAGAGAGGAAATTAGAGAACCTTGAGCTACAATAATGGATGAGTCTACCAGTTGCTAAAAAACAATTAGGGCAGCCTCAGCATCAGAAAGAGTTCTTGAGCCTTTTTTAAACCCCTCTTATTCTCTTTGAAAAGTGACTTGGCGTGCCATCAAGTTATCAATCTTCTTGATCTGAATCTTCTGTCTCAACATCTTCACAGTACAATCATTGAGGAAAAATATTAGGGCTTGTTTGATTCTATTATTTTCAAAATTAGTTTTCTCTCTTCTTTTGGACAACACATTCTTAAATAAAATATTATTTTTATACGCAAAAACTTTTCCTTATTTTTATTCATACATTATCCATCAATTCGCCATTCCAAAATAGATTATTTGCTAAAGATGGGGATCAAATATATGTGTATGTCATTGGTACAATAAGAAATATATTGAGATTGGGAGACGAGAAAGAACATTGTACTTTGTTAAAAATAAGCAAAAAAGAAACGAAGCATATTTTCACAGAATCTGAAACCAAAAACCCAAAAAAAGGGAAATCACAGTTAGAAAAATCATTCTTTTTTTTTTCTTTTTTTCCCCCCTTTTTTTTTTTTTTTTTTTTTAAAAAAAAAAATTTTTTTTTTTTATTTTTTTTTTTTTTTTTTTTTTTTTTTAAATTTTTTTTTTTTTTTTTTTTTTTTCCCCCCTTTTTTTTTTTTTTTTTTGCATAAATAGAAATCTTCGACGGTGTCACATTTACTAGTTCAGGGAAGAGACGAAAACCTCCACGTGCAGAAGTGAAACCCTAGAGAGAGAAAGTAGAGAGCATCTGAAATGAGAAACCAAGCGAAGTGGCAGTGAAAGTATCAATAAAGTTGGTTTGCAAATTGCCAACGCATGGAGAGGGGGAGAGAGGCGTAGGTTTAGAGAAATGATTAAACTAGATGTACAGATGATGATGATGTTACAGACCTTCTACATGTCATTGAAATCGGGTCCACGTGGAACCCGATGCATTAAAAAATGGTCAAAAATAACATCGACTCCACCCATTGTGAATGATCTGTAAAACATCTATAAAAATCTTCCCTGTAAGTGCAGCTCGATCGTTAAAGAAATTATCTTTACTGGACGTTGGTTTTGTCGAACCGTAAAACTTGGCACACCACTGGATACGGTTCTTCCAATGATACTTTACACTAATTAATTTATTTTATTTGTACATTACTAATTATACTATAATTAATTTAAGCTTGTAATTATTTTAACAGTTGTCAACTAATATTAAATTCAACTGAATTGTACTATTTGTACCCACTTTTATCTTAAATAAAATAATATAAAATCCGCTCCGAGAATAATCAAAATAAATAAAACCTAAATATGTATGTACTAAATCCCTGTTTGTCTACCATTAAAATAGAAGAAAGAGTTTCAAAAAGTGAGTTTTTTAAGGATGTATGTTTAAAAATGCGAAAAAAATTTAATTTACGTACAAAATATTGAAAATGAATATAAGAAAAAAAAAGCTCTGAAATATTGATAGACAAACACAAGCAAAGTTCTTTAGTAATTGGACAAGGCTAAGGAATCTGGATGTATTAGCAATTGCGTCTAAACCATGATATCGATGAAAAATAAATCCAAAAATGCTATAAATGTCAATTAATCAGAAATGACTTTTTTTTTTTTTTTTTTATCAAAATAACATTTCCAATTGACAATATAAAATGTCAATTTAACATATTTTTTTTTAAATCGCCCAACTGACCATAGTCAAATTTCAGTTCATCCCTGTTCAAAAATCAGAACAACATTGTCTTCGATTTCATGTGTTAAGAAATCAAAATTTCACTTTTATGTACCTCGTATAATTTCCTTGGATAGTATGATTTCATCATAAATATATAGCACAAGCAAATTCAAAACAAGATTTAAATGTTCTGAAGCCACGTAAATCCACAACATTGGCCCCTAACACTCAACTCACTTACACAACAATTTATAATTATATCCAATTATGAAAAATAGACAATTATCCTTCTGGGCTGTGGTCTCCTGGCATCATCTTCAGTTGGAGAAAGGTAAGCTGCCAAAATTAACATAAGCATACGGTCAAAAAGATCTGAGACTACAGCCTACTAAGACAATACTTTTTTGTGTAAATTTGAATTAGGTCACATGAATTTAATGAAAATCAAGTACCCCAGCCGGAGGGAAGTATCAGAGCCATGAGAATTGGTGATACACTCGGATGAATTGCTTTGCTCAATAGCATTTCCAGTACCTTCAGATTTCTGCATAAACAGCTCACTTTATGACTTGAGAATGCGAAATTTACTACTGAATTCCAATGCATGAATGCAGTATGAGAAATGATATATAATTTTGGAAAATAAAGGATCAACTCTCACTTCTGCTTGCTGTTTCAACTTAGCATTTTCTTCCATTAATTTAGATTCCTGCATATCAGGAAAGTTAACTAATTAGCCCAAGCATTTAGTTGTTGATTTTATCATTTTACGGTATTTATCTCTTAACAAGGAGCAGCATGATTATATTTTTCATTAAAGGATTAAGTTTGAGGTCTTGCCTTTTTCATGAGCATATTTATCTCTTTAAAAAACTTGTCATTCTTCCACGGAAAGACAGAGATGTTAGCACAAAAAATCTAAACAGGAAACACTGGAAAACACGGAATTGTATGTAAACCTTTGTTTCCACGACATGATTTAGCACTCCATGTACTCTTTTCTCTAGTTTGATCAACTCATCCATGTCAAGTCCTTGGAGCTCTTCTCCCTTGAGTTGCCTATCATAATTACAATTATTTCTCAACTGTGCAATGCACTTGAATATGCGTAACAGAAAACCTTTAATTCACAGCCATATTTTACCTTAATTCACGAGTCTTCTCCTCTAGCATCTTGCTGAGCAAGCCATAGTTATCATTTTCCTGAGAAGAAAATGCAAATAGAGTTATTCAAATATCACATATAACGTAGCATTTTCGTGTTTTTGACATTATATTGTTGAAATATAATCTTCATTTATATAGTCAAGTTCATCATTTATTTAGTTAAGTTCAGTCATGTCTTTTGGGATTATTCATGTACTTGGAAAATATATGAATTATTTTCATGATTTGTTTGCCTATAATAACTAGTACATGTATTAAGATTAAATTCATGTTTTGTGAAACCTATAAAATATCAGTGAATGTACTTATTGAAAATAAGTTATTTTGGAGTGTTAACATATAAAGTTGAGTATTCACTTGAATATTGTCGTCTTCTAAAAGTTGCTCCATAAGTCATTTTGGAGAGTTAAGAAATAAAGAGAATATTATTTTTTCATCTTTTAAAAGTTATTCCATCTCCATGTTTCCAACAAAAGTGGCATTAGAGCGATGTATTAGATTGTGGAAATAAGAGATGACAAACAATAATTATCTTTCCAATCCTCAACTCACTGATGATAATTTGAAACTTAAAATGAAGAAGACATGTCTTAAAGACAAACAGATTTGCAACATGTAACTAAGATGAACAATCAAAAGGCTCGTAGCACGATCCATCAAGATCTTGATAATACAATTTTTCATAAGGTGTAAAATGCTACCATTCAAAGCAAGCATGCGGGATTTTTCAAAAGACATACAAATGTGCAAACAAAATTAAAAAAGTTCGTTTCAATCTTTGAAAGGATAACATGAAGCTCTATCCATCAAAGAATCTGAATCAATTTCAAATTACTCTTCATGACAATTGGTGATTATCAATGTGTAAGAAGAATAATATGAACCAGAGAGGTAGAAAACATGGAAGAGGTCATCGAAGTGCAGATGGAAATTCTCTAAATTCATCCAATAATGAAGGGAATTGTCAATATCATATAATTCAAAAGGACCAGGAAGACAATCTTAAAAAAGAAAAAAATAATGGTTGAAGATATGATAAATCTCAAATTGAATGATATAATTTTCACAAGCTTAGTCATTTTGTATGTTAGTGCAGGAGTATCAATGTGGTAGAGCAATCCAGCTACAATGAAAATAAAGATAGGAAAATGAATTTTACTCTTGAAAATACGAGGTACAAGGAGACAATAATTCTTGGTACTTATACACGTAAGCAAGTAATCATATGCGTGGAGACCAATCCATCTTCATGGAACTTGAAGAATTAAATGACCATGCTACATTTGGAAATGATTCAAAGGTGCAAGTCAAGGGTAAAGGTAAAATTCTCATCCAAATGAAGAATGAAGAACAATACATATTCAGTGTTTACTATATTCCTTTCACGAAGACAAATATTTTGAGTATGAGCAAATTTTTATTGATAGATTTCCAAGCATAGAGAACCAGATAATCTTGTGAATATTCGAAGTCGAGAAGTAGTGTTTGCAGGCATAGGTTAAAGATTCAACATGTCTATGACATATGAAACTTGGATTTAAGTTTTGATAGTCTAAACATCTTTACAAAGTGAAATATGGTGAAGGGCCATAACATATTTATCATCCAAATCAACTTTGCGAAGAGTCTATGAGAAGAAATCAGAAAACTTTCCCAAAAGAAGCAAGTTTTTGAGCATCGAGACTACTAAATTAGTGCATATGGATCTCTATAGATCACTCTAGCCTGTATGATTTGATAAAAGCAAGTACTTCATGTTATTCATTCATGACTTCTCTCGAAAAATATTATGTTATTTTCTTAGGGAAAAGTCTGATGCAATTGAAGCTTACAAGAATTTCAAGGCGATGGTGAATAATCAAAGTGATCACAAGATCAAAAACTTATGGTCATATCGTGGTGGTGAATATATATATTAGCAACATATTCAAGAATTTTTGTTAAGATCATGACATTTTATCATTTTTTGACATTCACGTCTTCTATATTGTGAAAATGACTCGAAGTATACGAAAACTAAGAAGATGCCAAAAAAGATCTTGACTGGAATTAGGTAGCGTGCTGTGTATTTGTTGAATAGTTGTCCCACCAAAGTGTGCAAAATGACTCATCAAGAAGCATGGAGTGAATTCAAGCAAAGTATATTACATCTTTGAGTTTCTCAGAGCACTGCTTCACCTCTTGTTTCGAAATAAAGGACCAAACTAGATGCCAATAGAGAAATATATCTTAATAGGCTATGATTCAAGATCAAAAGAGTACAAGCTCTACAACACAATAAATAAGAGGGTGATCAAAAGTTGAGATGTTGAGTTCGACGTTGACACTGCGCAAGAAAATTATAATTTCTTCAACTCGAAAGGCTTACCACTGAATCAAAGGTAAAAAGCACTTTTACAATTGGCTCCTTCTTTGCCACAACGAATTTGTCGATTCTTATCAATGGTTGTCCACCTCACTTTCTCTCATGCCTGAAACAACTTATTCTTCTTTGAACCCGAATTCCCACATAACGGTATTAGAACTCTCTTTCTTTTTCTTCTTTTCCTTTTTTACTCATCCATAATGAATGGCATTCTAAAGGCTCTCAATCAAGCAGAGACTTCCTATACCATAGCAAAGCCAAATCAGTGTGGACATAAATTGGGACATACCGTCAATGATCTCAGTTAAACCAATTAAGAAACGATTTTCTCTTTGCCATTAAGTCAGATACGCGACTTTGGATAAAGAAAAAGGAGTTGAGATCAAGGTGATGTGATTCTGCCTTAATTAACAACATCAGCTCTATCTCCGAGAGATATCTTCATCTTCATCATCCTTAAGTAAAATGCCACATCATTGTAGAAGTTTTCGAGAGATTTTGATGGTACTAAAGAGTTATCTCAACCTCCTAAGGAATTAACTTTACTTTATCTATTTTCCCATCATGCGATTATTGGTTTCGATGATGCTATTCGAAATAATTAATGGAGAAAGTCATGAACGAA